GCGTCCATGGAGTCACAAAAAGTCAGACAGGGCTTGGAGACTGAAGAACAAGAGAGAGAAAGCATAGAGTATTTAAGGAAAAGAAAAGAGTGTATAGGTGGAGGGTTGGGGGATAGTAATGGGAGGTTAAAAGACACTCCTTGGAAGGAAAGTTATGACCAACCTAGATTGCATATCAAAAAGCAGAGACATTACTTTGCCAACAAAGGTCCATCTGGTAAAGGGTATGGTTTTTCCAGTGGTCATGTATGGATGTGAGAGTTGGACTATAAAGAAAGCTGAAAGTGCCGAAAAATTGATGCTTTTGAACTATGGTGTTGAAGACTCTTGAGAGTCCCTTGGACTGCAAGGAGATCCAACCAGTCCATCCTAAAGGAAATCAGTCCTGGGTGTTCATTGGAAGGACTGATGCTGAAGCTGAAACTCCAGTACTTGGGCCACCTCATGTGAAGAGTTGACTCATTGGAAAAGACACTGATGCTGGGATGGATTGGGGGCAGGAGGAGAAGGGGATGACAGAAGATGAGATGGTTGAATGGCATCACCGACTCAATGGACATGGGTTTGAGTAAACTCCAGGAGTTGGTGATGGACAGGGAGGCCTGGCGTGCTGTGATTCATGGGGTAGCAAAGAGTCGGACACGACTGAGCGACTGAACTGAACTGAACTGAACTGAATGGGAGGTAAGACTTCCCAGGTGGCTGAGTTGGAAAAGAATCCACCTGCCAAGCAGGAGACTGCCTGCCATGCAAGAGACCTGAGTTCAATCCTGGGTCGAGAAGATCCCCTAGAGAAGGAAATGGCAACCCACTTCTTAGCTGGGAAACCCCATGGACAGAGGAGCTGGTGGGCTACAGTCCATGGAGTCGCAATGAGTTGGACACGACTTAGTGACCAAACCATCACCACCAACAGGAGATAAGGAATCCTCTAAGTCTCGTTAAGAAGTTTGAGTGTTAGCCTGAGGGAAAGAGAGTGAGGTGATTAAAAGAAAAAAACTGGGCTTTTAAAAAGAAAACTCTGGGCTTCCCTGGTCCAGTGGTTAAGAATCTGCCTGCCAATGCAAGGGACGAAGGTTTGATCCCTGGTTGGGGAAGATCCCATATGCCACAGGGCAACTAAGCCCTTTGCACCTGAGCCTAAGTGCCACAACTAAGCCCATTTGCTAGAGCCCGTGCTCTGCAACAGCAGAAGCCACTGCAATGAGAAGCCTACACATCACAACTAGAGAACATCCGCTGCTTGCCACAACTAGAGAAAGCCCATGAGCAGAAACAAGGACCCAGCACAGCCAGAAATAAATAGATACTGTTTAAAAAAGAAAAACAAAACTCTGGAGAATTCCTTGGCAGTCCTGTGGTTAGGACTTGTGCTGCGCAGTACAGTCAAAAAGAGAAAAAAACAAAAAAGAAAACAAGCTTCAGGGGCGATGGAAAGCTTTTGTCATACAGGCAGTGGATACTTCCCTGGTGGCTCAGATGGTAAAGAACCCGCCTGCACTTCGGGAGACCCGGGTTCAATGCCTGGGTTGGGAAAATCCCCTGAAGAAGGGAATGGCTACCTACCCACTACAGTATTCTTGCCTGGAGAATTCCATGGACAGAGGAGTCTGGTGGGCTAGAGTCCATGGGATCACAAAGAGTAGGACATGACTGAGTGACTAATGCTACCACCATATAGGTGAGCTGTACTGAGAAAGTTGCAGTGAGAATGAAGAGGATGAAGATCCAGTCAATAGATCTTTAAGAGAAAGAATCTGCAAGATGCTTTGATTACTGATGGACATGAAACATGTTGACAAAGAAGGAGAAAAATTTTCTGTTATTGGCAACTAAATGGTTTGACTCACTGAAACAGGAGATTCTGGTGTGGGAGTGTAAGCAGATAGGGTGTGTGTGTGTGCGCGCGCGTGTGTGTTTGTGTGTTAGTTGCTTAGTCGTGTCCGACTCTTTGCAACCCCACAGGCTATAGTTCACCAGTTCCTTCTGTCCATGGCATTCTCCAGGCAAGAACACTGGAGTGGGTTGCGGTACCCAAGAAGGGCTTTCTTAACACAAGCCACTTTTGGCCTAAGCCATTTTGTGATCTAAGTCTGAATGAAAGCTTACCCTTGAACAAGCCTCAGAAATTAATGATCGTAGGGGGACAAAAGAATGCAGGAACAATGATTATTACCAGTCAAGAAAAGTAATAATAACAAAGATAACAAACCTGTTGTAAAGACTCTTAGTTCTGTTTCAATGTTAAAAATTAACCTAAAGCAATTTCTTGAGCTATTTTGCAGAATTTACCCCTCTGCCCCAGCACTCAACCACCAGATCTATTGGAAACTAATGGATGAAGATATTGCTTTTTACTGACCTTCCTGACTTCAATCAATGAAAATTTGGGGGACTTCCTGGTGATCCAGTGGCTAAGACTCCATGCTCCCAATACAAGGGGCCCAGGTTCCATCTCTGAGAAGGAAACTAGATCCCACATGTTGCAACTAAGACCTGGGGTGGCTAAATAAATAAATCTATAAATATTTTTTTAAAAAAGCAACTTGGGACCTTCTCCTCAATTCTATGTTGAATTCTCCTCTGCTCAAATCCCTTCATGAATACTCATGTACCCTTAACTTAAAAATTCCTTAATTTTGCTGTTCAGGGAAACACTACTTTGGCAAAGACCCCAGGTGTTTTCCTAATTCACTGCAAGTAATCAATCCTTCCTTCTGATTTTTGGCTTGGTTGTGTCTTTTGGTTTGATATCCATCAAGAGACAAATCCAATTTTCAGATAACAAGAGCAGGTTGTTTGGGAGGTGTTGGAGGCTGAGATAAAGGTGCTGGAGAATATGTTAACTCAAATCTCAGAACAAGACAGGCTTAGAGGTTTGGGAGTCATCTGCACAGGAGAGAAAAGAGAAGGAGATTCAAGAACACTGAGAGAGGTTCCACTGTGAAAGAGAGCTTGTAAAGGAGATTTAGATGATTGAGAGAGGGAAGAGGAAAACTGGGAGAAGGTGTTATCAGGGAAACTCACAGACAAGGACTTTCCAGAAGATGCGAGTTATCAGCAATGCTCAACGCCATTGAGAACAGGGTGGCAGCATCAGACAAACTCAGATTGAGGGACATTCGCCAACACAACTGACCTGTACTCTTCAAAAATGTCAGTGCCGGCTTCCCTGGCGATCCAGTGGTTAATAGTCCACCTTGCAATGTAGAGAACACCAGTTCAATTTCTGGTCTGGGAAGATTCCACACACTGAGGAGCAGCTAAGCACTTGGGCCACAACTACTGAGCCTGCACTCTAGAGCTGGCGAACTGCAGCTACTGAAGCCAGCGTGCTTAGAGCCTGTGCTCTGCAACAAGAGAAGCCACTGCAATGAGAAGCCTGTACATCGCAACAGAGAGTAGCACCTGATCTCCACAATTAGAGAAAGTCCACACGCAGCAACGAAGACCTAGCATGGTCAAAAAAAAAAAAAATCAGTGCCAAGAATACAAAGAAGATGCACAAACATCTGTGTACATAGAAACAGAGGTTAAAGGAGACTAAAGAGACATGAAAAATGACAATGCAGTGCCTGATCCAGAATTTCCTTTTGTTATTTTTAAACTCATTTTTAATGGTTGCATAATCAGACAATTAATTTCATTCAAATATATTTGAGTTTATCAATTCTAAAATGGAGAGGAGAGGAATTAAGGAATTTCTAAGTTAAGGGTACATGCATATTCATGAAGGGGTTTGAGCATTCCAGGTTTTCTCTAATCACACTCTATCATGCTACTTTGGCAGAGAGGTTTTTATGAGCCATATTACATAGAAAAATGTGAAAATCAAAATAGTACACTGATTATCGAAGTACAAAGCTGGAAGTAAAAGTAAAATTTACAGTTGCTGTGTTAGGTTTGTCTGAATGTGAAGGAAAGTTCACCATTAGTTTTACTTCTAACTGTATCTTTAAACTTGCCTTCAAAAGGTCACTATATCAGCCAGCTTACTTGTCGTAAGCTCAAGGTATCTGACAGTGATTAGATAGTGTTATTTAAATTTTTCACAAGTGTTAACTCCTAATTTATAGGGTTCTATCCCAACATACAGTGGGAAAGAATCCTCTTGCCACTCGGGTTCAATGCCTGGGTCAGGAAGATCCCCTGGAGAAGGAAATGGCAACCCACTCCAGCACTCTTGCCTGGGAAATCCCATGGACAAAGGAGCCTGGTGAGCTACCGTCCATGGGGTCTCAAAAGGTGGACACAACTTTGCTATTAAACAACAAATCCCAATGTAGGCATCTATAGGAGGCTGTGAGTGCACAGAATGCTTTCAAGGAGATGAGAGAATGGAACAATAACTAATTTGTCTTTTGCACGATCCTGCAATTCTAGCAGTTGTGTACAGCTACCTGAATGCAACATGTTGAAATATTAACATTCTTTTTACTAATTTCACTCCACTTTTTTCTCTTTTTTAACGTAGACATTCAGGTTTTTAAACATTTAAAACATTTTCCCTATGCCATTTCCTGTCCACCAAGCACAGCAGGCTTTCCTGATAGCTCATTTGGTAAAAAACTTGCTTGCATTGCAGAAGACCTCAGTTCGATTCCTGGGTCGGGAAGGTCCCCTGGAGAAGGGATAGGCTACCCACTCCAGTATTCTTGGGCTTCCCTTATAGCTCAGCTGGTAAAGAATCCCTCTGCAATGCGGGAAGCCGGGTTTGATCCCTGGGTTGGGAAGATCCCCTCTCTAGAGAAGGGAAAGGCTACACACCTCAGTCTTCTGGCCTGGAGAATTCCACGGACTGTATAGTCCATGGGGTCGCAAAGAGTCGGACACGACTGAGCGACTTTCACTTTCACCATCAAGTACATTGATCAATAAACCTTCAGAAATTGAACAAGTACTTCTTCCAGGAACGCATCATCGACAGGGTCAATGCCCTCAGTCAAGATGCCCGTAATTGCCTTTCCCCTTTCTTCCCTGCCCTAAGTAAAGATGGTTCTGGTGACTTCCTTTCAAACCTCGCTTTTCCCATAACAAACGTGGCGCAACCGCTTCCGGTTCCATACTGCGGCTACTGCCGGGCGGTGAGTACAACTGGGACCTGGCGACTTTTCTGGGCCAGTTTGCTCTGCGGACTCTTGAAGGCTTTCGATTGAGGGGAGGGAGGGAGAGAGGGGCTCTCCGCGATGCTTCGCGGAGATTCTTTAGGCAATTAGAGAACCGTTCTTTCCTAATTGGGAAGTTATGGCCGCGTTCCCTGGCAAGCTCCGAAACTCCTCCTACCCCCACCTTGCACGGCCTCTGCGCCCAGGCCTTTGCGAAAGCCCCAGAATTTGCGAGCAGTGTCTAGATGAGCTTCGGTTTTTTTTTTTTTTTTAAATAACTTTTCCAAACTATAGTTCACATATTATAAAATTTGCTTATTTAAAGTGTAAAATTCAGTGGTTTTTCATATACCCCCAAGATTGTGCATCCATTACCACAGTCTAATTTTAGAATATTTTCATCACCTCTAAGAAAAACCCTGTACCAGTTAACACTCTCTATTCAGAAGGGCCTCCCAGTCCTAGGCAATTATTAGTCTACTTTTTGTCTCTATAGGTTTGTTTGCATATTTGATATAAATGCCATCATACAATGTGTGGTCTTTCTTGAGTAGCTTCTTTCACCAAGTATAATGTTTTATTTTTTATTTTTTTTTATTTTTAAATTTTTTTTCCATTTATTTTTATTAGTTGGAGGCTAATTACTTTACAACATTGCAGTGGTTTTTGTCATACATTGAAATGAATTAGCCATGGATTTACATGTATTCCCCATCCCGGTCCCCCCTCCCACCATTTTATTTTTAAGTATAATGTTTTAAAAGTTTGTTCTTGTGCTAGCATGTATTGGAACTTAATTCCTTTACTGTAGAAAAATATTCCTTATATTCATATGTGTGTGTTCTTGCTAAGTTGCTTCAGTGCCACCCTATGTCCCATAACCCACTCGGCTTCTCTATCAATGGGATTCTCTAGGCAATTATACTGGAGTGGTTTGCCATGCCCTTCTCCAGGGGATCTTCCCCACCCAGGGATTGATTGAGTCAGCATCTCTTACATCTCCTGCATTGGTAGGCGGGTTCTTTACCACTAGTTGTTGTCCTTCAGTCGGTCAGTCGTGTCTGACTCCGACTCCGTGAACCACAGGACACCAGGCTTCCCTGTCCTTCACCATCTCCCAGAGTTTGCTCAAACTCATATCCATTGAGTCAGTGATACCTTCCAACCATCTCCTCCTCTGTTCTCCCCTTCTCCTCCTGCCATCAATCTTTCCCAGCATCAGGGTCTTTTCTAATGAGTTGGCTGTTTGCATCAGGTGGCCAAAGTACTGGAGCTTCAGCTTCAGCATCAGTCCTTCCAATGAATATTCAGGGTTGATTTCCTTTAGGATTGACTGATTTGATCTCTTTGCAGTCCAAGGAACTCTCAAGAGTCTTCTCCAACACCACAGTTCAAAAGCATCAATGCTTCAGTGCTCAGCCTTTTTTATGGTCCAACTCTCACATCCATACATGAATACTGGAAAAACCATTGCTTTGACTAGACAGACCTTTGTCCGCAAAGTAATGTCTCTACTTTTTAATATGCTGTCTAGGTTTGTCATAGCTTTTCTTCAAAGGAAGAATGAAATTTTAATTTCATGGCTGCAGTCACCATCCACAGTGATTTTGGAGCCCAAGAAAATAAAATCTTTCATTGTTTCCATTGTTTCCCCATCTATTTGCCATGAAGTGATGGGACCAGATGCCATGACCTTCTGTTTTTGAATGTTGAGTTTTAAGCCAGCTTTTTCACTCTCCCCTTTCACCTTCATCAAGAGGCTCTTTAGTTCCTCTTTGTTTTCTGCCATAAGGCATTTTACCACTAGTGCCCCCCACATTTTATTCATCCGTTTACCAGTTGATGGATATTTGGATTGTTTCCACTTTTTAGCTCTTATAAATAAAGCTGCTGTGAACATCTGTGGGGGCTTCTGAGGTGGCTCATTGGTAAAGAAATTGCCTGCCAATGCAGACAACTTAAGAGACCCAGGTTTGCTCCCTGGGTAGGGAAGATCCCTTGAAGGAGGAAATAACAACTCACTCCAGTATTCTTGCTTGGAAAGTCCCATGGGTAGAGGAGCCTGGCGGGCTACAGTCCATGGGATCTCAAAAGAGTCAAATATGACTAAGCAACTGAGCATGCGTGCACACATGATCATCTGTGTACAGTTTGTGCAGACACATGTTTTTATTTCTCTTGAACATATATATTGATACCTAGGAATGGAATTGCCTGATCCAAGTGTAACTCTAACAATTGAGGAACTGCTAAACTGTTTTCCAAAGTATTTGAGCTATTTTACCTTTTTTTGTATGTGGATATCCAGTTGTCTCAGTGTTGAAAAGACTGTTTTTGTCCTGTGGAATTGTCTTGGATGCTGGAGAAAATCAGTTGACTATAAATATAAAATTTTACGTCAAAACTCTCAATTTTATTACATTGACCTCTATGACTGTCCTTATTTCAATACTACAGCCTTGATTACTAAAGCTTATAGTTGGTAGTTTGTTTGTAGTTGGTTTTGAAATAGGAAAGTATGGATACTGTAACTTCGTGTTCTTCATTTTTAAGATTGTTTAGCTTTATGGGCCCCTTGCATTTCCATATGAATTTTTAAAATAGTTTTGTCAGCATCTGCAAATGCCAACAGATTTTGTAAGAATTGTATTGATCCATACATCAATTTTGGCAATATTGTCATTTTAAAATAGTAAGTGTTCTAGTCTGTGAACATAGGATGTCTTTCCATACACTTAGATCTTTAGTTTCTTTCAACATTTTAAAATAGTTTTCAATCTACATGCCTTACATATTTTTCATGAAATATATGGTGGTTTAGTTGCGAGGTTGTGTCTAACTCTTGAGACCTCATGGACTATAGGCTCCCCTGTCCCTGGGATTCTCCAGGCAAGAATACTGGAGTGGGTTGCCATTTCCTTCTCCAGGGGTTCTTCCCAACCCAGGAATAGAACTCAGGTCTCCTGCATTGCAGGCAGATTCTTTACTGACTGAGCTACAGTATTTTATTCTTTTTATGCTTTTGTAAATGGAATTATATTGTTATTTTACTTTTATCTTTTTTGTACAATTTATTTTTGTTTATTTTATTTATCGTTGGCTGCACTGGGTCTTTGTTGCTTCATGTGGGCTTTCTCTCGTTGCAACGAGTTGGGGCTAGTTTCCAGCTGCAGTGCATGGGCTTCTAGTTGTGGTGACTTCTTTTGTTGTGGAGGCTCAGTGGTTGTGATACAAAGGCTTAGTTGCCCCGAGGCATGTGGGATCTTCTTGGACCAGGGATCAAAGCTGTATCGCTGTATTGGCAGATGAATTCTTAAGCACTGGATCACCAGGGAAGTCCTAATTTCATTTTTAGGTTGTTTACTGCTAGTGTTTATACATAAAAATGATTTTTCTGTATTGATCTTGTATCCTGCAACCTTGATTAACTTGTTTAATTATTCTACTAGTTTTTTTTAAGTGGAGTCATTGGGACTTTGTATGCATAAGATCATGTCTTCCGCTAATAGAAATAGTTTTACTTTTCTTTGTCCAATCTGGAAAATTTTTATTTCATTTTCTTGCCTAAGTGTGCAGCTAAAACCTTCAGTACAGTGTTGTATAGAAGTGATGAAAGCAGTTACTATTTTTGCCAATCTTAAGGCAAAAGCATTCAGTCTTTCACCATGAAGTTCCATGCTAGCTACAGATTTTTCAAAAATTCCCACTAGAGGAAAAAAAAAAATGCCCTTTAGGACTTCCCTGGTGGTCCAGTGGCTAGAGGAAATGGGTTTGATCCCTGGTTAGGGGAAGTTGTATATGCTGCAAGGAGTGGCCAGAAAAAAAAAATTGCCCTTTATCAGATTGAGGAAGTTCTCCTCTATTCCTAGCTTGTTGAGTGTTTTGATAGTGAGTGGGTATTTGACTTTGTCAAATTATTGATTGTATGTGTGTGTCTGTTGTGGTTTTTGTCCCTTATTCTATTATAGTGTATTACATTGATTGATTTGCAGATGTTAAAGTAACTTTGCATTTCTGGGGTAAGTTCTGTTTGATCACAGAGTATAATCCTTTTTATATGTTGATAGTTTTGTCTGTATTCACAATATTGGTCTATAGTTTTCTTGTGATGTCTTTGTCTAGTTTTGGTGTTAGGATAATACTGGGCTCATAGAGTAAACTTGGAAGTGTTCCCTCCTCCTCCATTTTTTAGAATAGTTATCTATAAGAAGGAAGGATAGGTGCAGTGGGAGGAAGCAGGGCTTGTCGGAAAACCTGATAGAAAGAAAGGGTTCTGAGGTTGGGGAACTAGACTAGACATTTCTGAGTGGTAATTGATGTTTCAGAGGTGTAAAGAAGAGGAGAAAGCCTTGGACTGATCCTTGAAGAAGTCCAGTTGGAGATGGAAGATGAACCACAGAGCAGGCAGTGATGAGATGTCAGTACGATGAGTGGCTCCCTGAAAAGTAAAGAAAGAATATCAGACGGAGTTTCTAGAGGTTATGGTGGAGAGACTGAGCTGGTGGAGATGAGGAAATGAGCCAATTCTAGACTCCTGAGAAGTCTGTGGAAGTGAGAGGAGATTGGCTGTAAGGAAGGCAGGTGTCAAAGGTTTTCTTTTTGCTTACTTTCTTGATAACTTTTCATATTGATATAATTTTACCCTTTCAGAAAATTGCAAGACTAGTACAAGGAACTCTCAAATAACATTTTCCGGATTCACCAGGTACACTTGCCTCATTGAGTTTATCGTTCTCTCTCTTATACATATACATATATCTGGAAGTTCTCAGTTCATATGTTGTTGAAGCCTAGCTTGAAGGATTTTGAGCGTTACCTTGCTAGCATGCAAAATGAATGTAATTGTGGGTAGTTTGAGCATTCTTTGGCATTGCTCTTCTTTGAGATTGGAATGCAAGCTGACTTTTCCAGTCCTATGGCCACTGCTAGTTTTTCCAAATTTGCTGGCATATTGAGTACAGCACTTTAACAATGTAATC